TATAGATTACATAGCCTACTTACTCACCATCGTCAAAAAATAAATATAGGCTACTTACTGGAAATCACTGACGGCCTCTCAGGTATGGGAAGGAAGACGAAAGCGAACAAGTTTCCTCAGTTCCGAATATCTGCTGTTATTTTCACTCCGCTCAGATTTTTAAACAAATTCTGTGATAAACACATCCCAGGCCGACTGTAAAGGCCATAGGTAAACACTCAAACTCAAACTGAGTTGCTTCTGTACAGTCTATGGTTTCTTCTATGGGATAGGAAGCGACAGTCACATGACACAGCGGTGCAGTCAGCTGACTGCAGAGCTGAGCGGCAACGTGGAGGGGAAAGGCCAGGGCCGCGTCCCATTTACGTTTTTAACACCTCAGTTCTTTGCCTTCAATCAGTCCGTTCCCTGCTTTGTTCTTGCAAACACAAGAGCAATGAATGGCAGTTAACATTAGCAATTTTCATAGTCATACAAAAATAAGTCGTGGTACCACTTTCTGATTAAGGCCCCATATAGACGGTTTATAAGGTGTGTAGCAGGGTTGATAAATCATTTAGCCTACAATAGACCTTGTACTAGGCATTCTCTACGGGCCCCTCCCCGAATCCATGGCTATTATTCCAGGCATGCTCAGTCCCCTTTGACCCTCCAGTCCCTGCCCCTGCCGGTGTTCTGACGATTTGCTGCCCTATCGAAAAATGCTACCTTATGTGTTCCCTTTTTCTATCCCATAAAGTTATAACTCTCACAGTATTATGACATCTTCTGTTTTTTGAATATATTATAACATCATTTCAGAGGTAGCGTATTCTGATAGACTAATATCCCCTATAAATAGGCCTAATGCTCCCACTACAGAATCATTTTATATTGCACCACTACTCACTCCATGTGTAGCCTAGCCTACTGTAAGGAGATGGGGAGCATGTTGAATAACGATATTATGGCATCTTTATTTAAGACATCAGGGGTTGCATATTCCGATAGACTAATAATGATTTTCTTTTTTGATAGTGCCGACGATCAGCCACTGTGTTGACAGCATGCCCAACAGCAAGGTTGCACAGATTTATGGGCGTGGAAACAGACCACGCTTGTGGGTCATACGCATGCGCATAACCTGTAAGTAGCACATCTCGATAGGTAGCATAAATCGACAGAACACCGGTGAACTCGACAAGCTTTCCACAGTCGCTTCAATCATCCCCGCAGCACTGCTCGCGTTGCGTAGTTGTGTCGGCAGGGAGTTGTATGGTTACCCCAACCCGCCTTCTTCTTACTCCACCCCCTCTATTCCGTGTTTTCCACCTGGCAGGCTTCTATCAGGAAAAACCTGCCTTTGAGATGCCCAAATAACAATGAATTACAACTGACAACCTGTGAGCAGGGTGCTCCTCATTTTTTTATATCGGGTCTCATCCCACTTCGGTTAATTGTCTCGACGTTTCCCTTACCTGTTTTGTTTTGTGTATTGGATACTTCTATCTGTTTGGGTCTCAATGAAGCCATCTGAGAAGTCTAGAGGGAAAATGACTCTTTGGTGGAACAACTAATGACAAGGGGCCACAAGTAAACTTTACTTTTTTAATAAAAGGTGCAGAAGCCAAAAATGGATGGAATCACTGGTTTACATTGTAACAATGTATTGTAGCCTATTTCTAAGCATGTTATATGTTTTTTTATGTAAAATCTTAATCTGGAAAGTAACTAGTAGGGTAGAGTGCGGTACGACGCCCCCCCCCTAAACTCAATGTTTATTTGCTGACACATAAAATATTTTATAGGGTTTATTTGTATCTTGGAGATGGCCATGCTCAGGGTAACATAATGCAAAGTAAAATAAATACCTACAGTTGAGAAATTAATTAGAATTTAATCAAATGTAAATTTTAGTAGAAAGGCATTTTAGAATTACCATGGTGGGGCGTCTTACCCCATGTTACGCTAACTATAAGCTTTCAAACAGGCCTACATGTAGTGGAGTAAAAAGTACAATGTTTTCTCTAACATTTAAAAAAAAAAATTTAAATGTCATCAAGTACGCTGTGATGAATTTAACTCCTTTGAAGTTCTCACTCTTAAACTTGGAGGGCTGCAACCTATCATATTTGTTATAATTTATCGCCCCCCAAAACCGCCTGGAGGATTTTTATCAGAACTTCCTGAATTTTTATCTACTCTGGTTTTAAATTATGTCAGAATTGTTCTTTGTGGCAATTTTAATATTCATGTTGATGACCCCACCAATGTTAATGCAGTTGACTTTTTAAATATGGCCACTTCTTTTAACTTCAAACAACATGTCAAAGGGCAAACACATAACCGTGGTCATACACTGGACTTGGTTTTTACCCTGGGTGTCAGCATTTCCTCTGTGGAATTGGTGGACATGACCATATCTGACCACAGATGTATTGTTTTTAGCTGTGATTCGCCTGTTACTCATGCCGCCTCACCAAGCTCCGTGTGTTCTCGCATCTTTAATGAACAAAGTGTCCTCCAGCCCACTTGATGTAATACCTACAAAGTCAGTTGGGCCCCATTTGATCTCTGTTTTCAACAGCTCCCTATCTACTGGTTGTGTCCCTAAATATTTTAAATCGGCTTGCGTGAACCCACTTTTAAAGAAACCTGGTTTAGATCCCTCCCTCCCACAAACTTTTAGACCAATTTCAAAACTGCCTTTTATTGCAAAGATTCTAGAAAATATAAATAGAAAGTTTTGCGTGTCTGTAAACGACTATGTCTCTTCGTTCTGTCCAGTTAAATATGATGTGCCTCAGGGGTCGGTCTTAGGATCCATTTTGTTTTTCTTGTATCTGCTTCCCCTTGGACATATATCCATAAACATGGCATTTCTTTTCATATTTATGCTGATGACACACAAATATACTTGCCCGTCAGATCCACAGACCCTGGAATGCTGAGTTCACTTAACAACTGCCTTTGTGAAGTTAAAAAATGGATGTCAAATAATTTCCTCCAGCTGAACTCAGACAAAACAGAAATCCTGGTCATTGGGTCTCAGCAGATGGCAAATCAAATACTGCCAATACTGCTGGTTCCCTAGTAAATCACATTAAGCCTGTGGCAAAGAACCTTGGTGTTTGGTTTGATAGTAATTTCAGTTTCGAGCAGCACAGCACAAAGCTTGTTCAATCATGTTTTTATCAACTTAGAAATATAGCTAAAATTCGATCTATGTTAACTTTTAAGGACACCGAGACCATTTTACACGCCTTCATCTCATCACGCCGGGATCCCAGTGTGGTTTCAGAATTGACTTTGAAATTTTATTGATCACTTTTAAAGCTCTTCATGGCCTCTCGCCTTGTTATATTTCTGAACTTTTAGTCCCATACACACCAGCATGTACCTTGAGCTCCTCGGGCAGAAGTCTGCTATCTGCTCCAGAGTCTCGACAGAAAACTAAAGGGGACAGAGCGTTTGCAGTCAGGGCCCCGAGGCTCTGGAACAGCCTGCCCGAGGAGATCAGGTTGGCTGAGTCAGTGAACTCTTTTAAGTCCCTTCTTAATACATACTTTTATAGGAGAGCCTTTCCCGATCTTATTTGACTTTATTTTATCCCTTTTATTTTATTCTATTTTACTTATTTTTCAATGTTTTCTTGCTTTGTTTTTATCTTGTATTGTTTTTGTATTATTGTCTTTTGGGTATTATTGTCTTTACACTTGTTAAAGCACTTTGTAACTTCTTTTTGAAAAGTGCTCTACAAATAAAGATTATTATTATTATGTAGTGGATTAGCTAGAAGTATAAAGTAGCAGAAAATATAATACAATTAGGCCTACTTCAAAGTTTTACTTAAGTAGCCTCAAATAATAGGGTAGCTTATTAGTAATGTACAATGTAAAATGGACGCTCGGTGAGTCCCTGCTAAGTATCATCTGGGTGTAATGTGTGAATGCTGGGGCATCCCCATGTTAAACATAGACATCAGTTCTTTATGTAACTTCCCAAATTTGATATATTTATGCTGCTTTCCATGACTGTTAACAAGACTGATGTCAGGAGATTCTGGCACTCAATATATGTACATCTTTTCAGCCAAATGTTCCTCTAATTTATCTTGGATACTTTAAAGAGTGGCCTCTTTTGTGTGAAAAGAAGGAACCTTTTACTTTTGTATAGAGACTACGTGTAATTTTCTTAAGGTAATGGCAAGAATCAAGATGACGTGAATTAAAATAATTTAAGCTCTATCTGGATAGTATCTTTTCAAAAAAATAAAAAAAACTTCCACACCTATGGTAAACTTTGAAAGGTTAATAGCTGAAAAGCACACTCATGCTTGATGTATTGAGGTCTCCATTGCACTAGAGTGTTTTCTACTGAATTTGATCAGAGGAACTCCCAGTATTTAGCAGATTACAGTTGAGTCCAGCAGGAGGCGCATTAAGACTAGAAAAAGTCATTTCAACCATTGCAAACGGTTGTACCCTATTCATACTATAACCTGAATTCACTGTTTATCTCATTAACATAGCACAGAAAATAACTCAAATCATGCATTACAATTTGTTACTGTTTTATATTGTCTTTCTGAGCTGTTAAATGTTTATACTACAAAACCTGCAAAGTGGCAGAAGAATTAGGCTACCACAAATACCACAGTGCAAAATTCAACATTTTACTTAGTAGTTTTGTATCAAAATATACCTTGCGGGCTACTTAGTAGCCTACTTGAGTAAATGTCCCTACTTTCCACCACTGTCTATAACCTGACAGAATAGGTCAATATAGGCTGTCTCACTGCCACTCTGGTACACGCTAAGGCTGCGGTCGAATTGTCTTTTTTGCTTAGGAAGGTTTCTAACCAAGTGAAATGAGGCACTGTATTTAAGTGGCTGCTATGACAAGACCTGGTCGAATTGTCTAAAAGCTATGGAAAGGTCCTTCAATGAAAAGTGCTTAGGAAAGGAAATTCTTTTAACTTTTCGACCGCGGCCGAAGATATTTAACCGGTTGGTTCCGCCCACTGTGGGTCAAAAGTGACTTCAAACAGGAAAAGGTGGAACTTATGAGGTCGATTCGCAGGGAGCCGCACGGAGCCATGGCAGAGACGAGCCTTGGTAAGATGGTTTTAGAGACTGCTATAATGGGCACACTGTATCAGATACCCATGCAGCTGCTTTCATGGGATGGACAGAACACTCATAGGCTAGTTGATATCTGAACAGGATCTAAAAGCTGCAGCCATGTCACAGAGTTGCTGCTGTTATAGTTAATAGCCTAGTAGAGTAACAGGCAGAGCATAAACAGCTAACAACTATTTTTGACAGCTTGATTTTGATACTCAACTTGCACTGACTCGGGTATGTAGGTTGTGTGACGGTCTGCTGAAATGTTTGTTGTTCTTTAGTATTTCAGTCAGGCTTCCTGGTTTTACGTTTCAGCATGGACCCATTCAAGTGGTTTCACTTTCCTCTTAAAGTCACAGGAGCATTTTATATTATGATGAAAATGGTGGAAAACAGTCTGTGACCACAAGTGGAGGAAGAAGTGTTCAGATGTAAAAGTAGCAATACCACAATATAAAAGTAATCCATTACAAGAAAAAAAACTACATTCAAAATTTAGTTAGTAAAAGTACAGATGTATTATACCAAGCGTAGAGGTACTCCTAATGCAGAATGGCACCTTTCAGAGTTTTATACTGTAATACTATTTATATTATTGGGTTGTTATTGATGCTTTGGCATATAAGCAGCTATTTATTGTGGCAGGTGGAGCTGCAGCTCATTTATATACATTTGGGTAGTTTGATTTATAGCAAGGCTTCATATTTTATCACTTGATCATGTGTTTTCTTTTAAAAATCTTAATTTACAAAGTATCTAGTAACTATAGCTGTCAGATAAATGTAGTGGAGTAAGTGCAATATTTCCATCTGAAATGTAGTGAAGTAGAAATGAAAGAAGCACAAAATGGATATACACTTTTAGTTCCTAGCATGCTACATAATAGCGTAATAATCATAACATTTATTTATATAGCACAAATAAAAATCAGTGATTACACATGTAGGGTGCTTTTCAAAAGGCATTCATAAGGAAATCAAATAATTATAATAATAATCTGCGGAAAGCGCACATCTTTCAAGCTCCATGCCACAGTATGTAATACAGGACTACTGAACTGCACTGGAATAGTTGAAAATATTCAACTTAAATCCTTTGTGTTTTCACCCCTCTTAGGTGTTTTGGGTGTGGTGAAGACTTTCCTACCAAGCACAGCAGCAGGTTTTGCATTTGGAGAAGCTGCATTATTTGCAGTTGGGCCCTCACTGACTGAAGATGCCATCTTGCTAACTGCTGCGACTGTGGCTTCTGGACGAGCTGGTTCCACAGGTGTCGGAGTGGTGGCGGCTTGCCTCGTGTTCACCTCAGTGCTCATTTCTCTGGGAAGTGGTTTACTCCTAGCTGCCATGGTGATGAAGCTCTGGACTAAAGTTGGAGTGAGGTTGCCGTGGTTAGTGGGGGCCATGACAGGAGCCTCTGTTGTGGTAGGTGCTGTCTCTACTGGAGTGTTAGCGGGCATCCTTCCACCATTCATCTACATCGCAGCCCAAGGCTTTCTGGTCCTTATAGTCTACTCATACTCCAATATTAACGACATGACCATGGCTCTGCTAATCATCTTCACCACGCTCTACCTCAGTGTAGTATATGGAAGAATGGGTGCCATAGTTGGACTCTTTGTCACCGGATTGACAATCTGTGTGCTTTGTGCCCTGCGAAAGGCTCTGACAGAGAGGCTGACACAAAGACCAAAATCTAAAACCGGGTGCCAGCTTTTGGAGAGGATATTCTTCTACTCTGTTTTTGTGGGGATACTGGGATTTTCAGTAGGTTTGGGGGCAGGAGAAGCAGGAGAGGGGTCTAAAGCTGAGGTGGTTTTGATGCTGCAGTCGGTCCTCTGGGTGGCGTTTCTGTCTGCAGGTCTGCTAGGAGCTGGCCTGGGAACAGTGGCCACAGTCGGGCTGGGCCAAGAGGTGGCTGGAAAGGTCGCTGTGGGAGCTGCTATAATGTCATCACTTGCCCTGAGAGCCGTTCTGCAATGGAGCGTTTCTCTGGGGACCGAAGCAGCATGGGGGGAGCGTTAGGAGCAGCCACAGCCGCAGGGGTGTCACTCGGCGCTGCAAGTGTTGCAGCAAAACAAGTGTTCGGATCTAGAAATTCAGCTTTAATAGTTTTAGGTCCAGTTGTTGTCGGTGCAATTCTGGCAATGCGAGGTGTAGCACTGACAGCAACTCTGCTGACAACATCAGAACTTATAACAATCACCCTTGTTGGAGCAGGGGCATTTGTTCTGGGTGCACCAAAGAGCCCGTTCCACACTGACGTGAATCTACGAAGGGGCCCTCTCACCGGTCCAGAGCTAATTAAAGGAATCGGCATGGAGACGGTCACCGCAGCAGCAGCGCCTATTGGAGCCGGGGCACTAGGGGCCGCAGTGCTGGGTACCGCAGCTCTGGGGAGACTGGGAACTGTGGGAGTTCTGGTGGCTATATTGTTGGCTTTGGGAAGTACTCTTAGTGGCATGATAGGAAAGTCACCACCGACAACAAGCTCACACAGAGACTGATTGACCCCTGAGTTTGTATCTCTGTCTTCTGCTGGTCACCAGTGTGTCAGAACAAATACCAAACACGGAAGAGAGACGATTTGTGTGCATCTGCGTGTGTGTGTGTATGTGAGTAGAGAGATGTCTGCGAAGATTCTCAGTCATCCAGGTCATAGTTATCCAAGGAGGTTTGAATCGAGGGCAACTGGACTTGGTTGAAGATACTGTCAACTATCAGTCCAGTAGATTGATGTGTTTGCATTATGGCAAATCAACACTGACATAGAACTCATACTGAGCTAATTATGTGATACAATGTGATGCCATTTTTCAAAATTACAGATTTTGACCTTTGACCAAACATGACAGTCATGTTAAAAACGTATTACTGTGGCTACCAGTGTTGAATAAAATGGATGATAAATGTTAACCAAGCCCATGTTTGTGTATTTATTCACAGATATCTTATTGTTCTCTGGGAAAAATGAGGAGTGATTACCATAAAACACCATAGGATCAAAGAAATGGTCAGCTGTTTGACATTTTGCAGATCAGCTTTAAGGGTCCCTTTTCCTCACTTCTTCACACCACCATTGCTACATTTCCCAAGACATGATTGCAAGCTGGCAGTTACTTTGGTTTCATCTTAGCAACAGTAACAGAGGACTTGCTACTTAGAAAAGGAAGGGAGGAGTGGGAGGAGAGAGAGAAGCACAGAATGACCGAAAAACATCTTCAAACAGAGTGTGTTGTGCATGATAAAGAGAAATATGGATTTATACATCAAAATACTTTCTGCCTACTCATGTCAACCTCTCTGAAAATGATGATATGTTGCATACAAATGGATATTAACCTGTGGCTCAGGGTTTTGCCATGGCAGCGCACAGGACTTCAGCAAGAAAGAAGAGGTTTTTCCACTGAAACAGCCTTGGGATGGAGCAGCAGCTCCAAGACTGTAAGCTCTGAGAATCCAATACACTTTTCAGGAATTTAATACAACCGTAAAATGATAAAACATGGAACTAATTTGAAAACGATAAGCGCGTTTTCGTGGTGGATATAGCCTATGGTGAAACTAGTCGTTGAAACAGCCTTTGTTACTTGACACCCAGTGGGGAGAAATTGTTTTCAGCACTTAAGTGCACTAAATCTAAAGTTTGACCATGTAATTATCTCCAAAAGAACCAAGGGTTTTGGCGTTCTGTGCACTTCAGGAATAATGAACCGTATTCGCTACTTCGTGAACCCAGAGAATTGCCTTTATTAAACCAACATGTCTCTGAGCCGGGTCCACGCAACAAACACAGAGCAGTCCGCCGAGTACTCAGTGGAGTATTCGGGGCAGGTCCCTATGACCCGGGTCATGAAGCCGGTCGGACGCGGGAAGTGACCGTGCGTCAGTCGAGCTGCTGCCGCTGCCTGCCGCGCGCAGTGCGTCTGACTTTTACGCCAGAGTCACTGGAGAGGCTTTACCAGAACTACTTCCGCCGACAGAGACAAGATAACTTGCTGGTGTTGGCGATGTTTGCTGCTCTTTTCAACAGCTTCATCATTATCATGTGCGCGGTGGTGTACTCTGAGGACAAACTGGCGATGGTGGTGGTCGCTGCTGTGGGGCTGGCTGCGGACGCGGTGCTCTACGTGCTGTGCTGGCTACAGAAGCTCCCTGCGTCGCCAGTCTCACGCGGTGCAGTGCCGTACATACTGTGGCTGATGATCACCGCGCACGTTTTGTGTTACATGGGACTGAACTACGAGCGTTTCCCCCACGTCAGTGACTCTGTGGGCTGGCAGGCCTTTTTCAGTTTCTCCAGCTTTCTGACACTCCCGCTGAACCTGGTGCCGCTGCTCCTCCTCACGGCCGTGTCCTGTGGGATACACACCCTTGTACTGGGGGTGACTGTGGCGCAAAGGTTTCTGGATAACGTGCAGGCGCCCATGCTGGCGAGACAGGTAAATATGGCCCTCAGTAAAGTGATGAATGACAAAGCACCTGCAATTAAAATGGATTAAAGTTGGCCACAGGTGTCACAGATGGTCACGCAGGTGTGGAGGGCGATGGGAAGGAGTTGGGGGGGGGGGGGGGGGGGCAGGGCAGGGTGAAGGGATAGCAGGGTTTGACCTGTCTGTTCCCACGTGGATCCACGAGTTCACTGAGGATTACAGACGATGGTTACAGAGTGGCAGGATGAGGAAATATATGCAAACACATGTCACCTCTTTTCAGCTCCTAGCCAATGTGATGCTGTACCTGTGCGCAACCACAGTGGGTGTGATGTCATACTACATGGCGGACAGGAAGTACAGGACAGCTTTTTTGGAGGCTCGTCAGTCACTAGAGGTCAAACTCACTCTGGAGGAGCAGAGCACCCAGCAGGTAAGAAGAGCACACACACACATACACACAATCACAGGCAGATTTTGCTTAATGAGGTAATACATTTTCTTATTAGGGTCAAGCACACAAATACATGTACAAACACACAAATGCACCTGTTAGGTAGAACTGTGGTTCCTAATTACTGTATAATGTTTGTTTGTTAGGTTAATTAGAGAGACTGTTGTTCACCAGCTGAGCCACTGTCCGTGACCTGACACAATACTGTCCGATTAAACTCTGTGACAACCAACAGAACCTTTACCAAAATTATGGGATGTTATGATTTGGGTTTTTTACTCTTTAGTGTATTTGATTAGCCTCTGAACTGCTCTTAGTGTTCCTTTCCTTTCTATTACCATTTTATCTCATAGTATTGCTTTTTTCTGTTGTAGTCCTTTGCAGAGACCCTGCTCTTTCTCTATATTGAGAATGTTGTTTATGGTCCATTTGCTTTGAAGATAATTACCTTAATAGAGTAGTAGTATATAGCAAGCTAGTGCTCAAATATTAGGACTGGAAGGTGAAGGAGTGACACATAAAAAATATTAAGGAAACAGTTTGGGCTCCAATAGTGGAGGAAAAAAGTGCAATCAAATTGTGACGTCCTCTCAACCATTTGGAAGACCACATTTTAAGTCACTGTATCTCACTGAAAAATGTACTGAACTTAATTCAACTTGTTTAAGCCATCTCTACCATTCAGTGTAGGTATGCTACATGCTCTACCAAACGGTAGAGTTGGCACTTCATGGTAAAGGTTGGCTAAGCTAATGTAATACAAATTTACTAGCTAATATAATACAAATTGACTGCTTGCTATGAAATTGAAAACTTCTGAACTTTCATTATTGTTAACATGACATATATAATGTGTTTCTATTATATATATGTTGAATTAATTTCATAAATATGTCTTTATAATGGTGAAATCATGCTATACCTAAATAACAATAAAAATATTTTATTATATATATTATAGTTTTTATGGAATAAAAAACTTAAAAACAAATAAATATCTTGAAAACCAAATAACTATCTAGACAAAATAGACATGTGTTGGTATTCACATTACTAGCATCATAAGAGTACATGGTTTGTAAGTGTGATTTCTCTTTTCTGTTTCACAAATAATAGAGGACACTAAAACATATTATGGTGCAAGGCCACAGAATTTTCCAGCCCTTGTACCAGAAAATCCTCAAGACTCTGCCATTTTTCTGAGTGATGATGATAACAACCAAATAGAGCCTCCTGATCATCAACATATCAGAACATATCAATCTGTACTCTGCGCAGGAGTTGGGGGATCCGATCAAAACTAGCTCAGAAGAGATTGACTATTTCCTGGCAGTACAACCTGTCATAGGTGTTTTCAACTTCCCAGCCATGGATGACTACTGGCACCGCCAGTCACATCTCAAGACGTAAAGAGATTCAATCCGTTACGCCAGATTATTAATTTTACTGATAATCAGCAGGACAAAGACAGTCCCGACTGGCTCTTCATGCATTTTAATACCAACAAACTTTAGAAAACATCATATAAAATTCTAAGTTGTTGCAGAAATAAATCTGTTTCACAGTCAACAGCAGAGAAGGCGACTTAAGCATTTCATCCCTTATTGTGTATCTAGGGTTTACAGTAGAGTTCATACCAAACTGTATGCACTACACAGTAACTTCATTGATTATTGAAAAACAGCCACACTAAATTAAGTAAATACTGTATTTTGCAGTGATCTAGACATTGATATGTTGTCTCAGTATCTAAGTCTGTCTAAAAGGTTGAGAGTACATACAGATGTGTTCTTCTGAAATACTCAAAAAACAGAAATACTATGTTGGTAATATTCAAAATGTTCAAAAATCAATGATGTTACTGTGTAGTGCTGTTTTGTATGAACTCCACTATAAACCCTGTCTTCACAATTAGGGATGAAGTGCTGAAGTTGCCTTCTCTGTTGTTAACTGTCATTTTATATGATGTTTTCTAAGGTTTGTTGGTATTAAAATGCATATTTAAGTATTACCATGAAGAGCCATCTCAACCGTTTGGAAGAGCAGTATATCCGAAAACTATTGGGTCTGTTAAAAAATATTTTTGGGATTATTGTTGTTATTGCCCTAATGAAATAAAAAATGTAAAGAAATAATTTTTCCATCACTTTTTCCTTGGTGAGGACTTTAAAGGGATAAGATGGCAATGATACAGCGTTCCTTCCAAGCCATATCATGATATTTTGTATTTCTTCTCATGTCACAAGAGGGCCAGAATTTGAAAGATGATGCTAAACCAAAACTTCAGTCTAATCAAAGATAATGTAACCCATACTGTGTTCAACCTTGATGTCATTCATTTATTTCTTCTCTTCCACTCTCACTTTCTTCACGTCCTATCTTCGATTCTGACTGTGACAATGTGAAAAAAAGGAGCGCTGCCCTGTGAGAGTTAAAGAGGGGTGGAAAATATGGTGAATAGTGGTGACATGTAGGCTGGAGAAACAGAAACAGACAGAGAAAAGAATGGGGATATTGAATTCCCAAAGTGCTTTTCAGGTGGGGATTTTGTAGAAGACAGGTATAACCAGCCAACCAGAACACACCTGACCAGCTGACACGGTCTCTTGAGGGCTGCAAGCATCTCTTTACTGCCTCAGTCACTCGATGAACACACGCACACACATTCACGTAGGAGCAACTTATTTTTTTTTTCATAATGTTTGTTCATTACAGAACATGACAAAACTCACTTTCGTCTGTCTGCATCTCCATGTAGGAGGAACTATTGTTGTCCATCCTGCCCAAACACATTGCAGATGAGATGCTGCAGGGCATGAAGAAGCAGGCCAATGAGAACGAGGGCCAGCAGCAGCAGTTCAACACCATGTACATGTACCGCCATGAAAACGTCAGGTCAGGATCACAAAATCCGCCTGTTTTAGGGGGAGTTTCTGTTATGAA